TAATAATAATAATAATAATTTTATTTAATGCCAGTTTACAGGCATTGTCAGGGAAGGGCTACACACAAAGCCGGCCAGCAGTGTAACAACTCCTGACAAAAAGGAATAAAGTTGATAGTGGTTTTTATGATTTGGAGGGTTCAGGGGAAAAAACTGCTGGCCACAAACTGCAGACAGTCAAGAAGAGAGGGATTGTACGGTATCGGATATTATCAGTTGCCAATTCCTTTCATGAATTTGGAGCTAGTCCAAACAGACGCGCCGAAGAACAGCTGATACTGTTGACTAAAGAAATCGTCCCTGGTGAGACCAGCCATTGAGATCAGAGACCACAAACGCCATCGCTACGGTAGAGTCGATCAGTGGATTCAGCACCCAAAATTTGTGGGACTTTTTTGAATGCAAAAACTGAGTAATAGTTCTCTTAAACAAACGATACTTTAGCAGAGTCTTCACATTCCTGTGTTGCTTATTCTAAATAGCAATTGAATTTACAGTAAAGAACCGACAACATTTAATGGTATGTGCCAGAGGAAGAAATAAAAAGACGTCACGGTGGCTGTTACGTCGGGGGTGGACAAGATGTCTTAAAGTAGTGAGTGGGTTAAAGGTACGATTATATAAAAGCTTAAATAGTAAAAATAGTCCCTTTTGTAATCTACAAAACCATAAATGATCAAGGCTTGTAAGCCGGCAACGTTCTTGGAAAGATAAATGTCGGTGTTCGGGGGTTAAAACTCTCTTGGCAAAAAAAGTGTTGAACGGATTATATTTTCTTCCGCTCAGTAGCACGCATGAGGTTAAATAAAAATGAACAGTATTCCAGGCCAGGTCGAACATACATATTGAAAAGGCGCATTCTAATGTCCCTAGTTTTAAAGTTTCGGAGGATAAACCCGGTCGTTCTACGTGCTTTGGAGACTATCAAGGCACAGTGCTGCGAAAGATTGACACTCTTGGAGTATGATACGCCCAGATCCTTAATAACCCCGGGCGCATTTAAGGCGTGACCGTCAATGCTTAGTTGAGGTTGGCAGTCGTCGCTAACTACCATGACTGAGCGTTTATGCCGAGGAAGAGAAAGGCGTCATGCGCGGCACCGCTGGGCAAAAACCTGGAGGTCGCTCTTTAAGAACTCGTGCATGATGTTACGATCTGCCGGTTTATATCGATATGCAACTTTCGGACCATCGGCATACATGAAGGGCATACATGATGGCTCTCAAGCCCCAGTAGAGAGGAACATTAAAATATTTGCAGGCTAAGAGCTGAATTATTCCCATAACGTAAAATCGCCGATGTTCAGTAATTCAGTATAATTCAGTAAATATGGGGGATATAGGCAGAGCCTTGGAAAACCCTATTTTCAGATTGGCGCATGAAAAGAAAGCATGCAGATTTTAACATAACAGTTATTCCAGTCATTGATATCCAGTAAATGTTTCACCATAAGGCATAAAGATATCCAGTCTTCTTTTGAAGGTCTCAATGTTTTCTGCCATGACAACGGAGTTCGACAACTTGTTCCATCCTTCTACCAACCAGTGAAAGAAGAATTTGGCCCACAATGCAAGTTTGGCATATTTTATCTTCAATTTTTATTGGTGGCCTTGAAGATTTCTCGTCCGCACCAGTTTGAAGATATCGTCAAACTGAAGAGCATAGTCTAGCCCTCGGACAATCTTGAAGGCCATGATCATATCCCCTCTAAATTGTCTATAAGAGAGAGGATGATTATCAAAAGCCTTTCTGAAGTCGATGTACACGGCCTCGATTGATAAACCTATGTCGATTAATTACGTCCATCTCTCCATGGATACTAGCAGGTTAGTGAGACAGGATCGACCCCTTCGAAATCCATGATGATGAAAACTGAGCAAGTGGTTTTCGTCAAGATGCCGCATCAGCTCCGTTTTACTACTTGTGAGATTCACTGGACTGAAAATATTTCGGGTTGTTCTCTCGCCACCTTTATATATGGGGCTAATATTTGCTTTCTTCCAGTCAGTAGGCAGAACCCCGATCTCCATCGAATTTTTGAAGATCCTGGATAACGGAGAAGCTAGATAATAATGATAATGGTTTGTTTAATGCCAGTTTACAGGCATTGGCAGGGGAGCGTTAGACACAAATCCGGCCAGCAGTAAAAAAAAACTCCTGCGGGAAAGGAATAAAAATATAGTTAATGGCTTTTGTGATTTGGTTAGGTTCAGGAGAAAAAAACACGGCTGGCGACAAACTTTTGACCGTCAAGAAGGGAGGGGCTACACGGTGTCGGATAATATCAGTCGCCAATTTCTTTCACGAAGGTGGGGCTAGTCCAAACAGAAGCACCGAAGAACATCTGTCGCTGTTGGCCAAAGAAATCTTCCCTGGTGAAACCGGCCATAGTGGCCACAGACCACAAACGCCATTGCTACGGTAGAGTCGATCAGAGGTTTCAGCAGCCAAAATTTGTGGGAGCTGTTCACAAACTCTCGACCGTCAAGAAGGGAGGGTCGCACGCCATCGGAGATTATCAGATGCCAATAACTTTCATGAGGTTGGGATAGTCAAAATGGAGGCGTTCATTCGGAACTTTTGCAAGTACGCCGTCCGGACCAGGCGATATAGTGGACTGTCGTTGACTCCAAGATTTGCTTGCCGCGTCTGTTTTTGATGGCAACCGTGTTAATTGTATTGCATGTTTTCAACAATTGGGGGGTAAACTCGTTCATCAAAAGCCGATTCCTCGGTAAATACAGACGTAAGAAAATCGGACAACAGGTTCACCTTGTCTGAATAATCAGACAACGTTTTTCCTAGGCGATCTTTTAGACAGGGAATTCAGTCCCGGCTGCGTTTCGCCGTATTCACGAATCCGAAGAATTTTTTGGATGTTATTAACTTTAGTTCAATCAATTTGAGGGAAATGTAGGTATTTCACCCTTGAACCCCCTGTTTGTTGCAACGAAGAAAAGTATATCAAAAAACTGGATAACGGAAATATCAGACAACTAGGGAAGAAAAATCAAAACATTACTGATAAACGAACTATTCCGAATGATATAAAAACTAACTATATGAAGTACATTACACAGAGGTTAGTTTGTGCATTATTTTCTGTTGAAAAATCGGTACGATTTCAGTAATCTGAAGGGATTAAAGTGAGCGTCAATATTCGCATACAATAAACTTGGAACAATAAGCAAATATAAAATTCAAGCGCTACTGAAGTACAGATAGTAACATTATAATAGCGTTAAATTGTTGGTACGGGTCGTAAAGGCAGAATCTTATTACCGACTAGGACAAGGGCAAGGTAATAAGATTCTGGCATTGTCATGCTCCGCTGTGCGGCTGCTGGTTGGGCTCGAAAGAGAGCCCGTATGGCACAACGGAACGAATGAGGTCCGTAAGAACGATCGGTGAGCAGCCCTCTTCCACGGGTTGTTAAGACGATATCGGTAGTGTGGCATTATGATGTATAGTGGCATACTGATGTAGCTTGCGCTTAGAAGCCTCGACGAATGTGGACATGACGACATATGCAGGCATAACATTCAAGCTTCGATCCTTCGTCTTCGTCAGTAATATCATTCTGCCTATATGATGCGCCGCTGTGCGGCTGCTGGTTGGGCTCGAAAGAGAGTGCATAAGGCACAACGGAACGAGTGAGTTCCGTAAGAACGATCGGTGAGCGCCCCCTACCATTCGATCACTTTATTGGATTAGGCACACTTTTGTGTCCAGCCTGGAGCCTGTCGCACATAGTTTGAGTGGATGAGGTTGATGTTTCCCTTTGGGTGATAATTCAACAAGGTTTTCCGGCATAAGACGCCGGTTCTCGCCGCGCAGTAAGTTGATAGTTTGTATCGAGTCGTCTTTTAGCTGTTCGTAACTCAGAGGAAAGAGATAGAGATTGGATAACCGTTTAAAAGAACACGAAGTCACGATCACTGGGACGGTTGATTTATTGGACTTAGCTTTCAAACTCGAACTGGAGTTCATCATCAGTGACTGGTAGAGTGCAGCAACGTGTGAACATTTAAATCGTTTTGTCGTAAGGGGGAAGAGGACTACGCCCGTGACTAGGTCTGGTTTGTGCCGCCTGGTCCAAAATGGTCACCCAACGTGGTGTCTCCGTCTGTGCTTCGCGGCGATGGGAGCTGCATCACCTTACGACGAAACTATGTAAATGTTCACACGTTGCTACACGCTAGCAGTCTCTGATGATAAACTCCAGTTAGAGTTCGAAAGCTAAGGCCAAAAAATCTACCTCTCCAGGGATTGTGCCTTCGTCCTCTTTTAAACAAGAACCTGGGATGCGCATATTCTCTCCCATTCATTGGATAACCGTGTTTCATAGGGTAGTGAACCATGTTCCCTAACAAGTTTGGTTGCACGCCTTCGAACATTCTCAAGGATGCTGAAGTCTTTAGCGGTCGACGCTTAAATAGCAAACTTCAACTTTGGCCGCAAAAACGTCTGAAAGACTTCAGCGACGCATTCTTCATCGAAAGTATACAAAGACCGCTTGAAAGGTACTGGGCTGAATTCGAAGCCACTTCCTAAAAACAGAAGCTAGTATATGATTGTTACCCGGCAAAATCGATCGTTAGGGTAAATTTTTCAGACGGTTCAGGATAAATGAACGCCAATCGCTGATCGATAACAGTAGGATAAATAGAATATTGGGGTTCCTTAAGCATTTTAATGGAGCAAAAGTCCAGCGGAATATTCAACAGCGCTCTATGTCACACACGCCACACTTCAAGTGTACATTGTCATACCTTCCTGGTAACCTTTTTTACTTGTTTTTATGCTTTAGGTCTGCCCCCTTTGACTATAACTCCGACAAGAGTCTGGTAGTATCTCAATTGCGCCCATCTGCGCTTCGTGAGTTTCATTATCAATAATAAATAAACTCTCATCATCGCTCCCCACGTTCTACGTCAGTGTGTGTGTTGTGAACTGTTTGTCCCCATCTTATCTGGAGTATTACGAATTTGGTGGCAGCGATGTCCGGATCGAAAGCTCCCGTCCGGGAACCCACGCCAAATCCTGGCTCATCCCCAAAAATCTCAACGGCGTGCCCTCCTTCGCCCTTCGCCCCTCTTGAAACCTATTCTAGCCTTACCCCACACTTCAAAAACATACAACACCGCCCTCGGCAAAAGCCTGTCCTATCCCCTCCACCAACTCAACTGTACCCGACATCCACCACACCAGCCTTCACTCCCCAGTCAATACAACCCTCGATCCTACGTCAAGGTGACAACCTGGCCCAATGTATCTCTTTAGCAGAGCCTTACTTAGAGTTGCTCCCCGAAAACTTCAGGAAGAACACACTTAAATCCCTTCTCGACCCCGAACTTGTATACAAGGTAGATGGGCTGGCTCCCTCTCCTTTCTGCTCATTCGAGGAATACTTAGGAGCCCTTTAACAGATTTTCCATTCAGAGTCCAGCCAGGCCGCGGAACAACAGCGGTTCTTCAATAAAACCCAGTGGGAAGGTGAGACCCCGCTGAATTTTTATATAGAATTCAAACACCTCTCGTTTCGCGCCTTTCCACCTCACGGCGATGAAGATCTAACGTTTTGTCGCATGATGTCGGGCATACGCGACCGTGAACTAGCGTTAATCTTCACCATCTGTCCACCGGCCAACGTCAGGGAGGCTCTTGACTTGGAATCGGCGCGCCGCACCCAATTCCCCTTGGCGCAGGAACCTCAAGCCACCAGAGATCCAACTACTTAGGGTCATCCACCCAACCTCCCAGGTCGGTCAACACCCTACCACACCAATTTAAACCGACGTTTCCAACCCCCAGGCCCGCCATACAACAATCACTGTTACTACTGCGACCGCTTCGGCACAGCTGCCAAGAAATACGGACACAACTCAGGTAACCAGCCCTTTCCCCTAGCCGCTTTATACACCCTCCCCTCTGATTTTAAGCCATTGACAATCTCGAGCACAGCGGCCAATAAGAGATTCAGCATCCTTATAGACACGGGCGCAGCTGTCTCCCTGATTCACGATAGCCTCCTCCACTGAACAAACTACATCCAGTCGGCATTCCCGCAGCTACAGATTCTCACCGCTAACAATTCCTCCCTCCAGTTTAGCAGCTCCGCCACAGTGCCAGTCTCCATCAAAGACACGACTATCCGACATTGCTTCCTCGTGTCTTCTGAACTGAAATGGAATGTCATACTCGGCTGTGATTTTCTAAAACGACATGCCCAGGCCATTACCTTCTTTCCCACTTCTCAGTCTTTGATCCTCAAAGACGACGAGGTAACTGTGGCCGTAAACAGTGTCGAAATCGATACGCGACCACCGCTCGACCCTTCCTCCATCGAAGATATCCTACCGGATAACATTTCGGCAGACGATCGCGGCGCCCTATACCACGCGTTGGCACCGTTCACATCCGTGTTCACATGGGCAGACCAGGCTATCGGACGGTGCAACGTAGTCCAACACAGGATAAACACCAGATCCGCCCCTCCACGGCACCTCCCTCCCCGACGGATACCCTTCCACTTTCGGGAAGAACTAGATAAGATGGTAGAAAACATGCTCCAACAAGGCATCATTCAACCTTCCTCCTCCCCGTGGGCAGCGCCGGTAACGCTGGTTAAAAAGAAGGACAATTCCCTTCGTCTTTGTGTTGACTACAGACGCCTCAACACGGTCACGGTAAGAGATGCCTTTCCTCTTTCCCGTATGGACGACCTCCTAGCTTCTATGGCAGGAAAGAAATTCTTCTCCAACCTTGACCTCTCCTCAAGCTACTGGTAAATCGAAGTACACCCAGAAGATCGCGCAAAAACCGCCTTTTCCCTGCCCTCGGGACTCTTCGAGTTCACCACACTACCTATGGGCCTAGCCAATGCAGCGGCGACCTGCCAACGCCTCATGCAGAAATTACTGAAAAACCTGTCCATCGAAGTGCCTTGTTTACCTAGACGACGTCATAGTGTGGGGTACCACGATATGAGAACTGCTAGACAACCTTCCAGAAGTCCTAACGAGGTACCAAGATGCCGCTCTGACATTCAATCCAAGGAAGTGCAAGTTCCTCCAACCAGAAATTCGCTTCCTCGGCCACATGGTAAGCCGCGAGGGCCTCAAAACGGACCCTGACACGATCCAGGTAGTCATAGACTGGCCACAACCGGTCAACGGAGATGAAGTCAGCTCATTCCTGGGCCGAGCAGGATACTACACGGCTTTCATTCCGTCGTACGCTCGCCTTGCCTTCCCTCTCACGAGACTGACCGAGAAGTCCCGACCAGTTTCGTGGACAACCGAGTGCGAGAACGCATTTTCACACCTCAAGGAGGCCCTTACCGCCGCCCCCGTTCTCAGTTTTCCCGATCTCAGTCGTGACGGACCCCCATTTGCCCTAGATACAGATGCTAGTAGTCACGCCATAGGAGGAGTACTGTCGCAGACAGACACCGATGGCAGAGAGCACGTTATACAGTACGACAGCCGTACGCTTGATAAATCGGAACGAAATTATAGCGCCACACGGCGAGAAATGCTAGCTCTGGTCTCCTCCACCAAGAAATTTGCTGCGTTTTTAAAAGGCAAGACCTTCAACATCAGGACGGACCACTCAGCCCTGGAGTAGCTACAGAATTTCCACGAACCGGAAGGACAAGTAGCAAGGTGGCAGGAAATGTTGGCGGACTTTGACTTCACCGTTGTACATCGCCCTGGGAAGCAACACCTTGACGCGGACGTACTATCGCGAATTCCCATGCGCGAGCCCAACAGCTGCTCCGCTTGCCAAGACCTCGACGTTAATCCTCTGTCGGTGATCACTTCGGCTGTGAACTGGGCTAACCTACAAGCCAACGATTCAGATGTCGGTCTCATCTACGACCGATTTGTGCGAGGTTCCATCAAACTGTCAAAAAATCAGATGTCAGGATAAAGCCGTGAAGCACAAGCCCTGTGGGCCTTCTGGCACAACCTTCTTATGAGGGATCGAGTACTTTTCTTCAAGTGTGACCCCTAGTCCCCGACCCGAACCGTTCTCCCTCCGGCTCATACACGCAGTGTCTTACGGGATTTACACCTCCAACTGGGCCACGCGGGACAAGGCAAACTGGAAAAAAACGGCGAGGCTTCGTTTCTGGTCACCTAATCTTCGTCAAGATGTGGCACTCATATGCCAAGATGCGCGCGGTTTAAACATCACACTCACAATCCCAGAGCACCGTTGCAACCGATTTCCACCCGCTACCCGAATCAGCGCCTTGGAGTCGACATCGTGGGCCCCTTCCCACAATCACGGAAGGGTAATCGATACCTTTTAGTGATGGTCGACTTTTTCACCAAATGGGCGGAAGCAGCCCCCCTACCTGAAGAGACAATGGCTACCGTCGCAGATGAGATCATGAGTACGTGGGTTGCCCATTTCGGGGTGCCGGATGTTATTCACTCCGACCAAGGGGCAAACTTCGAAAGCCTCTTAGTACATGAACTGTGCAGTCGACTCGGCATGCAGAAAACGAGGACCACAGCTTATCACCCACAAGGCAGCGGACAGACGGAGAGAACCAACAAATCTTTTTTGTCTCTATTACGAGCGTTCATAGATTCGGCTAACAACGATATCTGGGACACCCTCATTCCCCATTGTCTCCTATCCTACCGCAGTACCATACACAAGTCAACAGGCTTCACTCCCACTATGCTGACTTATGGCCGCGAACTTCAACTCCCTTTGGACTCCTATCTATCTACCCCACGACCTGAGTTCCCCATGCTTTAGGTCTGCCCCCTTTGACTGTAACTCCGACAAGAGTCTTGTAGTATTCAATTGCACCCATTTGCGCTTCGTGAGTTTCATTATCAATAATAAATAAACTCTCATCATCGCTCCCCACGTTCTACGTCAGTGTGTGTGTTGTGAACTGTTTGTCCCCATCCTATCTGGAGTACTACGAATTTGGTGGCAGCGATGTCCGGATCGAAAGCTCCCGTCCGGGAAACCACGCCAACTCCTGGCTCACCCCCAAAAATCTCAACGGCGTGCCCTCCCTCGCCCTTCGCCTCTCTTAAAACCTATTCTAGCCTCACCCCACATTTCAAAAACATACAACACCGCCCTCCGCCAAAGCCTTATGCATTTTAATGAAGCAAAAGGCAAGCGGAATATTCAACAGCGCTCTAGCCAAGTTTAACAGGTGATTCCTGCTTGATGATTCGTTGGATTCTGAGACATTTGCAAAGCAGAATATTAGGGTAGTTATGGTTTCATAACAAAGAAGAGTTATTCAAATACCACTCTTTCCTGCAATTTTAATTTTTTACACATCCGTTTTTTCTCATAGCGTTCCCTTGACAATACTTCTGTTCGTCGACGAATAGCCTTTCTTGCTGGCAAAATTCCAGGGATATATCACCCTACTGACGCAATGACTGCCGTTTCTCACGCGAGACCGTAGATGATGTTTAGTCTTTAGGTAACTTTACTTTCTACCGCCAGTAGATGGCAACGTTGGCATATGTGGACTGTGTACCCAATTCTCATATAATTAGACATTCCACCCGCCGCAATATGTACACTTTTTAAGAATTTGCTTTCATATCGCTGTGTCTTAAGCTAGATGACGTACGTGGGCACTCAATTTTTTAGGTGTGACCTTGCTGCCCGGCCTGATTCACCTATTTATAGAGGGGCGGAGGTTGCGGGTGACCTGCCCTTTGCGTAATGATACCACCTCCTTTCCAATGGCACTTTGTGCGCACAAATATTCACTCCTCCTTTATGAGTCGCGAACCATTATAACTACTCCGCGTTATGGCTGATTCACTGGTTTTCGCCACCACTCGATCCCTGTCCAAGAAACAGGCGGTCTTCTTAATGTATTCGTATAAACATTCCGAAAAATAACACGCTTATTTACCACAGACCTTTCTTTGACGTTCGCTACTGTCGGAACTAAATACTGGCAAGCTCATAAACAAGTCCATCTCACTATGAGTAATAGTGCACGCGGTCGCTTCAAGTCTATATGTACACCTCCAATTCGGACACCACTTTGTATTTTCTCCAAGCCATGCATCAGAGGTTACGGAAATTGCCACAACAGTCCTCTTTTCCAGTTTTCGTAGCCAGGACTCGGACTCGCTCCACTGTAAAATCACCTAACCTCTGATGTTTGCGTCCCCCACAATTTTTCCGCCTAAAACTACCGGAACAATCCATTAAAGGCCTTACCCCGGATGGCTCTCACATTTTATGCACGCTTTGCCGTCATCCGTCACTAGTTTTGCACTTACGCATTCACTTACCCCAAAAATACGCAGTTTGATTTGTTGCCTATCTTGCTGATTACCGAGGACAAATTATACAGTGCGTATCAAGGGTTACCAAGTCCAGTCCTCTTGTCTTTTATTACCCCTGTATTCAGTCCCCCTGTAGCTAGTCGTCTTTTTATATTCAAAATAGAGTTGAAAAACCGCCAGGTTTAGGGATTGCTGGCTCTGACTACAATCCCATATCTTGCTGAATATGGAGCTCTAACTTAATGCAAACCTTGGTAGAGTAGGCTCGCATATATTTGGGAAACTTCTAAATTTAAGTCTTTGACAATTTTCGTTTTAAAACATACCATTTTTAGCCCCCATACGCCAGTTCCTTAGGCTTACTTACTGAGTTTTTAATGACCATCATGATTGATTCAGGTGGTCTCGTGTCGAATCTACCGTGTTGAGTGATCTTCCTCCACTGCGATCAGGCAGATCACTCTTTCGATATCCGTTTTCGCCGCGTTCACTCATATCTTGCCTCTATCGTTGATTACGCCAGTCTTGGCGATCTGATGCCAGACATGGCCGAACTATATCAGACTATGAAGAAAGAGTGTGAAACTGACGGGCTGATGTCCTAACTGATTCTGCAGTCGTTCATTTGAGATGCATCAGAGAGAAGAGGTCAGGATATGGAGCGCAAGTAGCGTCGATGGAACACTCATTACTAACGGAAATCTTCAGAACTTATGGGTCGTTCCTCACAATGCCATAAGGAACTGTCTTCGCAAAGACCTGGCACACACGTGACTTATTTTTCAAATTGATCGTGCTTCGATTCCACGGTGTCCAATAGAGTCTACCTAAGAATTCGCTCCAGGTCGACTGATTATTTATTCAATCGTTGCGCGTTTAAGATTTCCGCTCAGCACCGTCACCACCGAGTGGCTTAACCGATCACCACCGTGTGTAGCCAGTTGTGGAGCCTATTTTACCGACTTCGCGTCAGTTTTGGACAAAACAAATCGCGTTTCAGCAAAGGAGCTGACCAGCCTCTCGTAATCAGCGTAGCCAAGACGTCAAGCGACTTTGGTGCCTGAGTGCTCTGCCATTGTATTTTAAAGGACTTAGCCTGTATGTGTTTGAACAGAGTTAGTTCCAGAATGCAACCCAAACGGACGCCGGTGAAAGAAGTCACTCTCCTAGCCATTCACATAGATTTTAATTCATGTTCCGTGATGATAGACTTACATCAATCAAAGCAACTTCGGTGGTATTTCACCATTCACCATGCTCGGTGACAGAGTGATATGCAACGGTAAATGTCGCAAAGCGTACGAGAGTGAATTTTTGAGTGCACAGGCATTATTCCAAGGTCGGGTGGGGTGGGAAACACTGATAGACACGCCAGTTTCCCATAAAATCCGCTCTAATTATTTTCAGCCTATGAAGTTTAAAGTAATTATTTATCAAGATGCAAGGAGACCTTCAACGTGATAGTTCATGCTCGGCAATCTGTCGCCCTGATTGGCGACAGCTTCGATCCAGCCTGTGAACGTGGCCTGTTTTACATATTTAGGCCGTCAAACGGCACTGGAAGGTCGTCTTCTCTGATTATTTTAATACTCTTCGTTTTATGTGGCATTTTAAGTATCTTCTCTGTCGATGGTGGATGTAAACCTCGTGTCTTCACCACACTTTCCTTCACTGTAATTCAAATTCCCGGCAAGGGGCAACTGAACAAAATATGTCAACAGCCCGAGGTTCATTATAACGGCCTCCCTCCATATTTCATCAGTGTCTAGCATTGAAGCGTAGACTGCAGTAACTGTGGTGTTGACAGCAACAGGCACAACTACCGCTGACACCATCAGCCAACGCCCACATGAGTCGTTGAACTGATCATTCGGAGCGATCGTGACACCATGTAGACCAGAGTCCTTGACGGCGTCACTGTGCGGAAGGAATCATTAGCGCATGAGGGTCTCGAAGACTGCTAGGACCAGTTACTACCTGTACTTGGAGACTTGGCTTGCGAACTTGCTTCATATTGGCCCTAAAGCTGTCCATATTTTAGTAGATCATGAACTAATCTACTCAACTTTTTTCTTTCAGGAACATAGTATCTGCTAGAAGCTCTTTACATAATCTCTCGACTTAGTTTTACCTCCGACGATGGCGACAGCCGATCGTGCGCTAAGTGAGGCTTGGAAAGTGTATAATTCGGCCTACAAGTCGATTGAAGCTGCAGTGGTTCTGGAGGAGAGTCGAGGTACGACACGTTCAGATAATAACGTACACTTCGGCAGGCAGTGTTCAGGAGGCTCTGAAGCATTATAAAGTAGCTATTACAGCCCTCGATAGGGCCCTCTCCTCACCGGCCGTGAAAGGATGTAAGACACAATTTGTTCATCGAATTTCTTTAGCAAACTCACAGGATATGATGGAGGTGCGCTCGAAAATGAAAAAATACCGCGAACTCGCTGCGGAAAGATGCGTAATTCTTTGTGCGTCTCCCAGCTTGTTTTGAAGTGAAATGCTTGGCTTTGGTGACTTCTTACTCTGTTTTTCTCTTTGCCTCACAGCCAGACCTCGGTCTTCCACTGCTTCGTCTTCCACAAGAAAGATCCCTCCACCAGCGGCGAAGAGATCGATTGCAGAAGCAAAAGTACTTTCATACGCCTTGCATTTTATCGTCTCTGTCCTAGGGTACTGCCTCCGAAAAACTGAAAAAATATGACCAGGCCCTTGTGGGGAAAATTCTTGATGACGTATGGACCGACTGTTCGCAAGTTTCTTTCGATGATATCGGTACACACATTCGTTTTATACCATAAGTTGCACTTTAAGGAGAACCTTGAACATTTTGTGGGTTGAAGTGCCTTCTCTGCCCAACATTGCTTTCCCTCCTATAATTTTCCTTATGTTTGTACCGGTACGCGTAACTGAATTCTTGCTCGTATGTACGTGGCGGATCCATCCCCTTTATACTCTAGCCTCACGCTGAGCATTACTTAATCTCGACATTTTATTTTACTAGCAAAACATAAGTAGGAAGAACTTTGAGGTAGAAATGTTCTGCATGCCCGAGATCTGAAATATGGAGGTTGACAGAAGTTTGTCTCACACGAGCACCTCAGGTGACCTGCTAGTTCACTTCAGTTCAGTTTATTGAGGGAAATAGGCATAAGCTTTTGAATACCCTATTTGCAACGTAAAAATGTGTTGTATACCGGAAAAGCTTCCGGGCTGAAATAGTTCAAATGAGCCCGTAATGGTAGGACAAAATGGGAGCGAGTCACATGTGATGAGCTCGATCTCTCATCGCTCCTGGACATTTCGGAACATGAATAGTTCGAGGTTCTTTTTAAAGCTTTGTATAGATGGTGACGCCACAAAATCTGCAGGAAGGGCATTCCATTATTTGACCACTCGAACAGAGAAGGAGAACTTCCGCACATCCAGCCTTGCCTGTTGAGTGCGCAGTTCAAACGGGTGACCTCAGAGGTTGGTCTTAGTAGCAAGTTGAAAAAAGTCCTCGAAGGGCAGGCTGCAATCCAACTCCTTTACAATGCGGAATGCTCGCAAGAGATCCCCGCAAAGTTGCCTGTATTTCAAAATTGTTTGAGTAGTTGGGCGACTGACTACTGACACCGAGGAGATATGTTAGTTACTATTAGCCATCAAAGTTGACTGTAAAATTGGATTGCATTCGCGCTTTGTTTCAGATAGTGTACCATTGGCCTTACTTTGCAAAGCCAGGCCCTTAATTTGTCCTTGTGTTCAGTTCTATTTCTCACTTGCTTACTTGCCCCTTTGGAATCCTTGCGTTCTGACCACAAACTTGCTTTTTAATGCTTCTTCCTCTCAAGCTGGAAATGAAGAAGTTAAGGAGCATCTCCGCGAAGCTGTCATTTATCCAGCTCTCCGACCTGAGCTCTTTACTGGTCTCCGATCCCCAGTCAGGGGAATACTTCTCTTCGGACCTCCGGGAAACGGGAAAACCATGTTGGTTCGTGCTGTTCAACAGCTTTGTGGATTTAACTCCCATAAATGATTACCGTAAATAGAATGAGAATCGGCCACGGCGGGAATACAGTGTCGCAACACTTAGAATTGTCTATTCCCCCACCAGCCTGTCTTACGGGCGGACTACTACTACTACTTCTACTACTATTACCACTAATACTACTACTACTACTACTACCACCACCACTACTACTGCTATTAGTACCACTACTACCGCTGTTACTACTAATACTACTACCACTGGCGGGAATACAGTGTCGCAACACTTAGAATTGTCTATTCCCCCACCAGCCTGTCTTACGGGCGGACTGCTACTTCTACTTCTACTACTATTACCACTAATACTACTACTACTACCACCACCACTACTACTGCTACTACTACCACTACTACCGCTATTACTACTAATACTACTACCACTGGCGGGAATACAGTGTCGCAACACTGAAGAAAACTTTTTCCCCCGTCTACCACCACTGATACGGCGAATACTACTAATAATCCTACTATTAGTACTACTACTACTACCACCGCCACCACGGCTGCCAATGCTACTCTACCAACGCTTACAGTATGGGTAACTAACTGCAATAATACTAGCATCAGTAACGGAGTGTTGCGACACTGGTATCCAACCTCGGCGCCACTTGCTGTCGCGTATGCAGAGTGCACGTTTAACTTCCATAAACTCGTTGGGGCTGGAATATTACCAAACACTGATTAAATCCGCAGAATTTATCAGCTTGGCTTCCCGTGGGGTAAAATGCATTCCTCTAATATTTGAAAATCGTCTCTCACTATATGCCAACTGTGACTTCCTTAACGTTATTCCCTTGTGCTTTTGAAACTGATGTTTTCGGCCTTTCTTGTCGTGACGATAACAGTCTTCTTATCCCAGTATTATAATGCCGTGTACTGTGTGCTACAATTTTTTGACTTCAGATGTCGGAAAGCAGCGTATACCTGACGGTGCCATGCTTCGTTTAGACGGCTAATTTTACCATCGAAGGTCTCTTGGTTGTCCACTCCCTATTATTTCGTTTATAGTCAGCCCAGCTGTTCTTTCCTCCCATAGCTACTGATACGTAGCCTGTATTGGGAATCCCCCTTCGAAAAGTCCCAACCCATCAGACCAATATTCCCAGGCCGTGACTCTACTAGCGTCTCTTGATACGTTTGGTGACGTTACACCTTATAATTGCAGTGGGTCAAATGTCACGGTAAAAGCTATACTTCTGACCCCGTTCACGAACTCACTGTCTTTCAATGCACAATCTTCTTATTTGTTCCACAGGCAAAGGCAGTTGCCACCGAGTCCAAATGTGTATTCCTGAACATCAGCGCTGCCAGCATACTATCCAAGTGGGTAGGAGATTCAGAGAAGTACGTAAAAGTTCTCTTTGCTGTTGCTCGAGCCCTGGAACCGGCGATCATCTTCCTGGACGAGGTCGACGCTCTTCTGATTGCTCGGAAGGAGGACAACAACAATGTGGGAAGGCGTGTTCTCACCCAGTTTCTCGCCGAAGTCGATGGTGTATGTGCTCTCTTGAATGTCTTCTGTTGCGTCAGACGGCGGCTTTATCTCCGCTTTATGCCTTCCACCCGATGCCTTCTCCAGTCGACCTTATTTGAACTCGGTGCTGGCGCATGATGGGCTGGGGAGGGGAGAGGGAGGCGCTGACGCTGCACTTACTTCCATCACGCTCTACTAAATTTGGCAGACTTTAGGATGTGGTGATAATCGTGGCTTGGGAGATTGTCAATTGACTGGCTGATTCAGCCCTACTCCAGACTGAGATTCAGGCTGTAATGCCCCCCTCTTAATCAATCCTTATGCTATTCCTTACAGATGTCAAACACGAGTTAACAAAGGCCCATCCGCGTGCATAGAGGGGCCGTCGCGTGTGTGGTACGCGTAAGTACAGTAGATGTGCTAACTCATGAAATGTCAACCAAAATGTCGAAATGCGTTCTCGTTTCGAAAAGATAAATTGAGTAGTGTTGTAAAACTAATCATGATGCGGCATACATCTATAATGATCCAGTTACCGCAGGGTGTCGGCTTTCGAAAGAACATATTTTCGGTTGCATGCAAGATCTATACTCTGCAAAAAATGACTACTTAATTAGCTGAAGTAGGCAAGAACGGCAGGATTTATTGGTACCAAAAAATTTCGCGACTGCTCTTCAGCTGCGTCCTGTCGCTTCATAAGAGAGATAACGAGTGAGAAGAATACAGCAGATTTGAATTCGTGCAGAAAATCAATGCAGAAACTGCAAGGTTAAGGTTTTGGGCAAAGCCGACTAATCGATAAAGTTAGTAACACAAACACCGTAGGGGAAGAAAGTGAAAAAAAGGAACGTTAAAGAGCAAAAAAATGAGAGGAGAGATGGGGAATCATGGAGCTAGAGGCTACCATGGCAATGTTAGGTTAACCACGTGTTCCAATTGTTTACAAAGATCTGGTTTCACTCGTATATAGGCTGCCTCCAGGTAACGCATGCAATTTTCTCATTGATTGTCGATGCCCTTGTAAATTCAATTATCTTTAATGGAAAACATGCATAAAAATATTCATTCTTTTACTTATTCGGTAGAAAATCACGTCTTCTTCCAATTTCATACTCAAAAAGAAGAGTATAATTCGCCTTTAAAAAAACTTTTCTAATTCCCGAATAATTTTGAACCCGACCTGCTGTTACACTTGCATTCAGGGTTTCAAAACTACAAGCTGTATATTTTTCGGGTACGGAAAACCATGCATTTCTCTACGGTGTTAAGAGGAGACCATATGAGGTTCATAAAATTAAGCAGTGGATTTGAGCAATATTGTTATCTTTACAAGCCACATTCGTAAATGCAGATACATGACGTTTCATGAACGACTATTTAACGGTATTAAAAAATCTCACAATTAGAAACTTTTTTAAAACCGAATTATACTCTTCTTTTGAGTATGAAATTGGAAGAAGACGTGATTTTCTACCGAATAAGTAAAAGAATGAATATTTTATGCATGTTTTCCATGAAATATAATTGAATTTTCAAGGGCATCGAAAATCAATGAGAAAATTGCATGCTAATTAAGTAGTCATTGTTTGCAGAGTATAGATCTTGCATGCAGCCGAAAATAAGTTCTTTCGAAAGCCGACACCCTGCGGTAACTGGATCATTATAGATGTATGCCGCATCATGATTAGTTTTACAATACTCAATTTATCTTTTCGAAACGAGAACGCATTTCGAAATTTTGGTTGACATTTCATGAGTTAGCACATCTACTGTAGGTCTTTATGGTCACGCTGCCAGCGCGTCTATGTCTGTCTCCTCATTGTGCCTGAAATCACGCACTAGCTACCGTAACCTCCTGATCTAATAATGCTTCTCGTCGAGTGCGACAAAAAGGACTGTTTTGTGCTTCGATAAAGACTGACGCTTGTAGTTATGGTATGCGTGTACTGGCTATTCTCCGTGGAAGGGAGGGGCACCCAGTTCGAATACTTATGCAAGGACCTGTACTTCGATCGGGCCACCCTGTTGGGTGCAATCTAAAATGTGGCAGATGGAACTAAAAAACCAGCCGTGCAAGGTCATGAAAAACTTATCGAACGCCCTAAACAATCTGTCTATTAGGAAATCTGGCCAGTTGGATACGGCAGCGTGAACCCTCTCCCTCCGTAATAGAGGTGGCCGGGGGCCAATTTTTTGGATACCTAATCGCATTTTCTAACTCCAACCCTAGCCCCCAATCCTGGCACTAACGCTAACCCAACCCCGGGAATTTTGGGCAAGGCCACCTGTCTACATCCTCGTGTCCAACCAGCTGGCCTAAGGAAAGTTGCAATATAGACAGACCTAAAGCATCGTGGCGCAATAGCATTTCAGCTAGCATTATTCCGGCTACTTGTGGCGTTCATGCCAGGGCGGTCGTCAGCTAAGTACTGCATGTTTTTTTATCGCCCTCCGCTGCTCATGCAAGTGTGCTTATCGCAAATAACAGCAGCAGGAGCGTTGTCTCTTTTTTGTTCAGTCGTTGAAAATCTGCTTTCCTCTGAGGCCTTGAGCTTGTGAGAACTGGGTGTTTCCCCGCCGAAAAATCATTCGCAGATTTTTGTGACATATTAACATAAGGGAGGGCTCTCTGCATCATATATTTCTTCATTGGCCACCTGCTTGCAAGCTGCTTAGTGCTTCAAATTTCATAATTTGTTTCCCGGCACTATGAAGGGTCATCTTGACATAGAATTGGCTTACTCAGTGGGCATGATCCAGAGGCCTCTACAAGTCTGTGACATTTCTTTCCAGGCTGAAATATTCTCGTTTCTTTGTTGCACTACTTCAAGCCGACGCATTATTGTTTCAAATGACTGTACAAAATAAACTCTTGATTTTGATAATGCCTGCAGTAGGCGTCGAAACTCATAAAACTCTGGCCGAAGTCCTTTATTATGCTTTAGAGCAAGAACGTCGGCTGGAATGATGGTGCAACGCTAATTATACGGGCTTTCGGTTAGAAGCCCTATTGAGTAACCTGTTTAATTCGCAATTCACGAAAAATCACTGCGTTTTTTAGCGTGCAGTTGCAACTGTCTCTGAACGCTCGTAGAAATTCTGCTGCAGTTTCCAGAGGCGTGCAAAAAAATTCATTTCTGACCCGTATATGGTGTTGGAAAGTTGTTTAAGACGGGTGCACTTCCGTTTGGGATAATTTTCACAATCCCTGCATATCCTGTAAACCAAGTTATGTTTTCAGTTGTTTATGAGATTTACGGGTTGCATGATGTATGTTTGCTTTAACGCAGACTCATTTAGCACCTCGGGTTCTTTATCAGAGATCTCATTTCGTTCACAAAGTGCTGTAATTACTACAAGTGATATGTTTGAAAAACGGCACCGATTCATCCGTGGATTTAGTCAATGCAACTCACTGCGATGCTCTCAAATGCCATTGGTACAGATGGTGCAAGCATAAAAAGGACATTTTTGTGCATTTACTCGTAGAAATACGACCAAGTGCATGCAAGAATTGTAAATCGATGGCAGAATACACACAACTGAAGCTGTAGCTTTTTCTCAATTGTTATTTAACCAGAAGCCGTCATATAACCATGTGTTAGTTTTCTTGCAACGGTGTTTTGAGCTATATTCGTACCTAAAGGAATTTTCGGAGGCCTCCGTCGATGCCCTACGGGTTTCGGAACTGTCTACGATCTCTACTCTGTACTTGTAGCGAGCGCTAAGGACAGAACTGTCAATCCCAGACAATGGATATCACGATAAGACCAGAGTTATGAAAGAATTAACACTCAAAAGTCAAACGACCTGGCAATCCAACACATGCCGAGCGCGTCGCGTAGAGTTGTGTTTCTTCCATTCAGTTAAACAACCAGTAAGTTCAAGAATAAGGAACAGGTAGGGGAAGGCAAGATAGGCTGGCGCCTCGGAACATACTATTCTACCAAGCCGAGTGTCTCTTCTCCCCACCCTCTGATTTCAGTGCATTTACCGGATAAGCACTCTTCATGCATTTACCCGATGCGAATCCGACCCTTAACTTCTATCTCATGCCTAAATCATTCTATATGTTGCTTCAGGCCGGTTCCGGCGAAGAGCGCATTCTTGTACTCGGTGCAACCAACAGACCCCAAGAGTTAGACGACGCAGCCCTTCGTCGATTTCCCAAAAGGCTCCTGGTTCCCATGCCGAATTTGGCTGCCAGAACCCAGCTGCTGAACATTCTGTTGCACAATCAGCCGGATATCAAGTTATCTGCATCAGACATCAGCCGAGTTGCCCAGTAAGTGCTTGCACGTAGTCCCCATGTGACTTTTATATCCATTACGGCTCATCCAGAACCTTACGGATGGTTGACGCATTTTACTTTTGCCACCGAATTTTTATTTGGCCAACTTTCGTTCTCCCTGAAAAGTTGTGACCATCGCCATTGCTTCACAGACATTTTAGGCAACTGGTTCCCTTTCTCAGGAGTGATTAGTGTATGATAGCACATACCTAGCCAGTTTGTTGTCTGCTAAGGCGGGGCTGCCGGTCCTTTTCATCCCGTGACGCGACATTTGGATTGTCAAGACGTTTTGACGGTGTTCTTTGGCGTGCAATATCGCCAACGTCCGCCAATACAATACGCAGAGACACCTGAAGCACTTTGATATTGGCCTGAAAAGGCTTAGTATCCTTATGAAGTTTGGACACGTATAGTCACTGCCGTCCTATCAACGCTGCAGGTTTATTTGATTTCGCAAAATTATGGCATGGAGGGGTGGACTGCAAAGCAGTAAACCTCTCTTGGACAGATTTAAAGGCGCTTTTACCAAAACTAAATCAAATTTACGTAGCCAGCAATCATTTGCGCCTGTGGGCATTATGTGAACTAACTCATGAAACGTGATGATTTAAGTCTATCTGACTACTTCTATGTATCTTAAACGTGCTTTTTACGTATTTACCTAACCAGATCGGGAAAATGTCCTTCTTGCATACGGTCTATGTTTATACATCATGTCCGAATTCCAGGTGTCTGTATAAGTAAGGAAGTACAAGACTGGTTGTCTACCGGAAGCATTTATTTGCCTGGGCTTTCTAACTCCTGTAGGAGTCCACCGTAAGAGCAGGGAAACAGGCGACGGTTATAGGGAGTGCTGGACAATCAGGGACCAGTAACGCAGACGTGGAGACAGCCGCTCAGGGCTCTACATACCGTCGTCAAATCGATACATTGATTGATTAAGTTCTCATCCAATGCCCAAACTTCAATCAATTCTCGGCTTATCTTGTTTCGGGCGTGACCGATTATCTCAGTGGCCGTGAAGTTAAACTCGTGACCCGTTTCGTAGGTGTCGGCGGCCACCTGTGATAGCTCTTCCCCCTGTCGCACAGCCAGTTTATGTGCGCGTATGCACGATTCGAGCATGCGTTCAGTCAGACCTGTGTAAGTACAAGGGCAGCTTAGGCACGCAATATGGTACACTATGCCTGACTATTCCCTCGGGTTTAATCTGCCATTGATTTTTATGACCTTTATGCATTTTTTTCGGCCGGTGGGCAACTCCGACGCAGCAATGCGATGTGAATGAGGGCGTCACGTTGAAAAAGATCATAATTTCGTCCGATTTAACCCTCTGGCCTCGGAGGTCTACAGGGGATTGAGAGGCTGATCGAACTGAGGTAGTCTAATTGCCTTAAAAGAACTCCAGTTTTGAGTACATTCATACTGCCAACTTATAGGTGAGGCCGCCATTTGAGGCAACGATTGATCGCAGTGAATTGTTTGGTTTGTGGGCCTTTGGCAGACCATAGAATCGGGGCAGAGCAGTGCCAGTTGGTTTTATTTGGCGTCATTAATCCTCCGTGATCACGCTTTTGTGCATGAGTTCTCTAAGTAACTTACTCAACCAGCCTGCTACTGCTTTGGCTTGTGAGTTCTGTGCTACTCGGTAAAATTCTCCGCCATCAAGTAGAGTCTTGATTTTTTTTATGATAGTCTTCTCTGTTCAAAACAACCGTTGATCGTTCCTCCTCAGTTCCTTCATAGCTTTTGATTCACTCTGCGAAACACATTGAGTTGATCTGTGTGACATCAGTAGAGATGTAACACGTTATCGGACGGAGTGTTACGTGTCGTCGGTTGTTTAAGTTCACGCAAGCCGAAAATCGATTGAAGCCTAAGGCTTGGATGAGAATTCGGTCAATCAATGTATCGATCCGGCACCAGCATACAGAGCCCTGCGCGGCCACCTCCGTGCCTGCGTCCCCGACCCCTGATTGACCAACAATTCCTATAACTGCAACCTGTTCCGTCGCTGCTTTTATCTCTGACGATGGATTCCTACACGAATTCGAAAGCTCGGGCAAATAAACAAATGCTTGCGGTACTCAAGCAGTGTTGTTCTTCTATACTCATAGTTTTATAAGGCAAAATGTATACTATTTTGGATGGAAATCTACGTTAACATATATTCAGTAAGTTTCCCTCGTTAATAGGTGTCTTACACTGAGTTTGCACATCCATGTGTTTTTTAATCTCTGAAGTCTTACCATACAAAACTTCCCGCACTTGAGAAATCATTTTTTGTCCCTGCAAATCACGTTAAGCGGGATGTGAACTAAAGCGTTTTTTTACAAAATCAGGTTTTATAGATTTTAAAAAGCCAGAGTTGTAAATCTCTGACTTCATGCCCTAAAACGTAATTATAACGCCTCCGGGCAGTCCGTTGCTTAGACTTACCGACATGTTTCTGCACTGTTGTGCATTTTCCTTCGTAGGACGTAAGAAAGGGCAGCGAAAACGGTTCCAAAATAAATGGAAATGCGAGTTCCTTTTTTGTAGCAGACAAATTATCATTTATTTTCTGGGAGTGAAGAGCCAGCCAAATGTTCAGTTTTCTTCTTTTACCCTGGGAAATAACTTCTTAAGGTGCTTTTTAAGAAGGCAGCTCATAAGAGAAAGTTCTCCACTTGGTCTGGAGCATATTATTCACCCACTTTCGTTGTGGACGTTCATGTGTTCTGGGCGATGAGGTTTCAGGTCTAAGATGAGTCTGCGAATATGACCCAACCGGCCATCTGCATTAGAAAGACTGCCCAAGAACTCACCACAACGTTTTCAGAAAATATTTTGTTTTAAGATTTTGATAAACTCGTAGCACAGTATCTATCTTCATGCGCAGTCAACCTAGAACATTGAAATTCGTATTCACCGATATCAGAAGGACACTAAAACTCAACGGAATCAATCGTCACTAAAGACGACATAGAGATTTTACGAAAGAATAAAGTCGGTTAGATCGCAGTTGGTAGTCAGGAATGGGGAGGCGGACAGCCAGGTCCCTGTCGTACAGGAATGGTGGGAAAGGGAGTTATATGGATGGGGTAAATTTAAGGGCTGGTAGAGGAATGCTGGAGTTTCTCGGTAAAAGTAAAGTTACCAGGGAAAGTGTTGGGAAGTTTTAGGTAGGTGGAATAATGGCAAAAATTTTAACCCTACGCTTAACCCTAAAGTCCAACCTTGACCGCAGCCATAAGACCTAACCCTAAACCTCAAAGCCGAAACGTAACCAAAACTCTAAAACCCAATGCTAACCCAAAACCTAGCCATTACCCCAACCCTAAGCGTAATCTTAACCGTAACCTTAACAGGAATCTAAACCCTAACACTGACACTGGAACCTGACCCTAAAACGCAAACCTAATCCTAAAACTTAACCTACGCCTAGCCCTATCCCTCACTAAGCCCAACAGTCTGACCGAAACGGGCGACCTGCCTAACTCAGTAAGAGCACACCTACTGATAACAAGTTCCCTAGACAAGGTAAGCACACCTACTGATAACAAGTACGTACGTCGACAGTATCACCGTATAATGTCTGGCTACCAACTGCGGTCTTACCGAAAAGTCTTCTCTGACGCGCACACAAAATGGCATGCTTATGGTTGTATGTACTATCGAGAATCACCTACTAGATTCATCAAATTAGACGTTGTCCGGTAGGGTTTTTGATCGGAATCTAGTCACGCCCTTCGCCGGCTCTAAATAACACAGGCGGGATGACATTCTTCAAACCAAAATGCCCCGAGGACGGTGACGTCTTTCTTTGCGAAATCAAGCCAGATTCTCTTTGACCTAGTCAAACGCACCTCAAACAATGTAAAAAAGGGAACAAATATGGCCAATTCTCGTGGAACTGTTTTGGGACCTACACTTAAACTGTTGGCTACTGCCATGCCTGACACTTCACTAACTCTTGAAGGAGATTTAAGTACAAACTGCGCCAAAAGACTACTTTCAAACGTTATTCTTCTTATGCTGCTTTGTTTACTCAGGCTTTCTATACAGTTTGCTCAGTGAAAACGACTTTTGGCGTTTTCGTGATTTCCGCTTATCTAAAAGAATTGTTATTTCTAGACAACGTAATGTTATTTTCGATGGCTCTTTTGTGTTTTCATTTTTTTGGAGATCGTTAATTACAAATTTGCAGTTTTGGTCAACAGATTTGGGCCTGGTTTCCGAGTAATAAGAAATTCTTCTGAGATTTAGGCACGTTTCGTGTTAAGTACTGTGCACCCTAGCCGTCCCGGAATTTGTCTGTCCATTTACCAAGTCGTTTGGTCTGGTCAACCGGATTATCACACATCATTGTAACCTGGACTAATAAAGGTCACCAAGCCCACGCGCGCGGTTAGCTGTCTGCGCCAGCTCAGCAATTACCTAGCGGACCGAAGGAAACACTGATAACAGCAGGGAAGCGCAATAGAGTACGGTGTGAATCAGAGACAATTGTTTGCTTGGTGCTTTTGACGGATTTGAACAACTCATTTGGCCCGTTTGGAAGACATCGGCAACCCCGGTGGGACTCGAATTTACGATAGTAAGGACGGGGTTTAAGTACAGACAGCGATCTGACCACCTGGGCTACGAGTCCCCGCCGGAAGCCGTGAATTTAATCACATTTGGGTCAAGTTACCCACCCAGCCTACTGAAACGTCTGGAAATCCCTCAATTCTGATTGAGTAGACTGACTGCCCAATCAGTCTAGAATCCACCAGACGACCACGGGGCCCACTTAATTACAGTGGATGTGCTAGCTCATGAAACGTCAACCAAAATTTCGAAATGCGTTCTCATTTCGAAAAGATAAATTAAGTAGTGTTGTAAAAATAATCATGATGCAGCATAAATCTATAATGATCCAGTTACCTCAGGGTGTCGGCTTTCGAAAGAACATATTTTCAGCCGCATGCAAGATCTATACTTCGCAAAAAATGCCTACTTAACTAGCATGCAATTTTCTCATTGATTTTCGATACCCTTGAAAATTCAATTATATTTCATGGAGAACATGCATAAAAATATTCATTCTTTTACTTATTCGGTAGAAAATCACGTCTTCTTCCGATTTCATACTCAAAAGAAGAGTATAATTCGGTTTTAAAAAAGTTTCTAATTGTGAGATTTTTGAATACCGTTAAATGGCCGTTCATGAAACGTCATGTATCTGCATTTACGAATGTGGCTTGTAACGTTAACAATATTGCTCAAATCCACTGCTTAATTTTATGAATCTCATATGGTCTCCTCTTAACACCGTAGAGAAATACATGGTTTTCCGTACACGGAAAATATACAGCTTGTAGTTTTGAAACCCTGAATGCAAGTGTAACAGCAGGCCGGGTTCAAAATTATTCGGCAATTAGAAAGGTTTTTTAAAAACGAATTCTACTCTTCTTTTGAGTAGGAAATTGGAAGAAGACGGGATTTTCTACCGAATAAGTAAAAGAATGAATATTTTTATGCATGTTCTCCATGAAATGTAATTGAATTTTCAAGGGCATCGAAAATCAATGAGAAAATTGCATGCTAGTTAAGTAGGCATTTTTGCGAAGTATAGATCTTGCATGCGGCTGAAAATATGTTCTTTCGAAAGCCGACACCCTGAGGTAACTGGATCATTATAGATTTATGCTGCATCATGATTATTTTTACAACACTACTTAATTTATCTTTTCGAAATGCGAACGCATTTCGAAATTTTGGTTGACGTTTCATGAGTTAGCACATCTACTGTAATTGGCGTTTTGACGTATTTGAATAATTCATCTGGATTTGACTGGCAGTAATTAGAATGTTAAATTTTCGGCCGTCTTAGACACGCTGGTACGAGCACAAAAGCCGTAAACAGTGGAATGGGTGTTTTCTTAATTTTTCGGCAGGGGTTAAATATATTCACGGGGTTAGGAAAAGCTACGGAGGACTTTTTACAATATTTATAGAGGTAGTTGTTTTTTGGGTACAGTTTTGGCCGGCCCTTGTCGACAGGATGACATTTGCTGACCTGCACCTCTCCGAGGAGTCGGCGCTGCTGGAATGTCCACATTGCTTCATTGTTCTGAACCCCCAAAAAGTAATTATTTGCTAAAAGTTCGGCACGGAGAGCAGTCAAATGGTGAATAAAATACTGGAAGCATTGTTAGATGGAATGAATACTTTCGCCAGTAAAGCGGGAGTGTTAGAACGTTGGCGAATTTGCCAGACAACAGTCAGTGTTTTCTTACCCTGCGCATATACTTAATCCATGCCAATTTTCATTGATCGTGAATACTGTCGGATTTTAATTTCCTCAGAAATTATCTACCAAGTTGGAGTAGGTCAGTATATTCAAGGTCTATAGGCTCAGACCGAGAATTTCATGTATGAATATTTGAGCCAAAGCCCATTAGCCACAACGGGTAATCGCGTAATATTCATTAACTGTCGACAGACAACTAGTAGTATAATTTAGGGTAAGGTGATACCATACTAACAGCTCAGGTACTAGCCAAAAGCCCCTACACGCGTGTTTCGCCGATATTCTGCCGCTGCATGCTGTTAGTATGGTGTCACCTTACCCTAACGTATACTACTAGCTGTCTGTCGACAGTTAATGAATATTACGCGGTTACCCGCTGTGGCTGATGGGCTTCGACCCAAATATTCATGTATAAAATTCTCGTTATGAGCCGACAGACCATGAATAAACTGATCTACTCCGTATTCATAGTTAATTTCTGAGAAAATTAAAAAAGTAACAATTTCCTCCCTAGCAGGTTTCCAACCCGGGACACTTACCCAAAACCTCAATACATAAAATTCCCGGTCTGAGTCTATAGACCTTGAATATACTGATCTACTCCAACTTTGTAGATAATTTCTGTGGAAATTAGAAAGCGACAATTTCTAAATTGGACTATCTACCAGAGAGCAGACAGGGAATGCTGGGGGACCCACTGACGAGCCGAACCCCTCGCGGCTACGCAATACAGCGGCAGAATATTGGCGAAACACGCGTGTATGGGCTTTTGACTAGTACCTATGTTGTTAGTCTGGTGTCACCTTATCGTGAATACTGTCGAATAGCGGGGCACGCGATGTGGTGGGCACGGCGCCCTGTGGGGGCTCTCTGTTCGATCTCTGGTGCAACACTGACACGGGCTCGGCTGTGAACGCAACTCGCGCTGCGAACTGACGCACGCGCGCGCACACACGCACACAGGGCGAAAGTCTTGAGCGTTTGCCGTTTGAAGTTCGGTCTTCATGTCGTTCTCGTCTGATGCGCACCCATAACACTCGTTGCCAGTTCTTGCATGACATGTAATTCTTTCAGATGTACACGGACCGCCAGTAAATGCCACCCTCGCCCCCCCCCCCGCCCCCACCACCACCAGCACCCAAAAATGAAGCAGTTATATCTCATTGTGCACCCTCGTTGAGGCGCTTAAATCTTGCTCGCCGTAGTCAGCGATTTTTCGAGCCTCGGGCGGTAGCACCCAGGAGTCGTGTAAATGCAGACTGGAAATGTTTTATTAGCCAGTACTGGACAGATCGTGTCAGTTCCCGACATTTTTGTGCACACATGGCCGGTGGTTGAATGAGTTAGGTCTCAGGCGCAGATGCTTAAGTCATGTGCCTTTGTTGAATTTTGTCGGTCGTAGACAGATGCACCTCTCTAGCTAATTCCACAGCAAAATCATATGTCGAGCACCTCAGTTTGAGGGTGGTGTTTGGAGTCGGGGTTGCATGGCCAGGAAAAACGGCAAAACATGCGCGGTTGTTTTAAAAAAAATAACCCGTGCAATTGCTCTTTTTGTATAATTGAATTAAATCGGATCATACTCGCACTTGGTTGAATTTATAGACCGCCGAACTCAAGCCGCACAAATCGACTTTTCTTTCCAGAAGTCAGGTTAAGTGTCGGTTATATCATTTCCTGGAAGCGTTGCCTTGGTGCAGAATGTGGATTTTCGAAGGAGACATTACTGCTTCCTCCGCAAGTACCCTTGGATTGGTGAGCCGTGCGCGTATGGCAAATCTATGGGATAGTCGAAACCCTTCTACAGGACGACTTTTCCCCCGAATGCGTACAAGTGAAAGCATGCCTTAGTACGTTGTTCATAGGCCATTAAGGAACATCAATTCTAGCTGCACATAGGAAGGCCGTGGCGATATGCATCTACATACAAATGGGCAGCTTTATTAACCGGGCATTAAAATCAAGACAGCCGACCGTGGGGTCGGTACGGGACAGCGTGCCAGACTGCCTGCGACACGGCAGCATCGCAGCCGACGCCCTGGGTGTGGCTGGCGGTAAGGATGAACCATGCACGTGACCGGAAGGCGGCGACGGCGGTTTCGGCTAAAGTCGTGAAGTGGGAACGAACCTAATATTCGGTAGGATACTGTCAAGCTTGATAATAACGATAAACGCAAACCACAGCTTTAAGCTTAACCACTATTGCGAACGTAGACTACCGACTCGACCGTAATTCTAAAGGTAGTGCAAACTGTAGCGACAACCTGAAGTCCTTGTCAAACGCTGGACGACTAGCCTGACCGCAGAGACAAATCTTACCGTAAAGCAAATCCAAACCGCGACTCTAGAAAGAACCCTGACATTAACCTGTACGGCAACCCCCTAATCGACAAGCATAGCCGTAAACTTTATCCTAACCCCGATGCCAAGGCTAATCCTACCAATAAAGGTACTCCGCAGCCGTAACATCTGGCTAGAACCCCCACACCAACTCTAACCCTGACCCCAATCAAAAGTTTAGCTCTAATCCTAGTCCTAAATGCAATTGTGGCTTGTGAACCTGACCAAATTTGACCCTCTAGCATAGGCATGTGTATAACACTACACCTAATTCCACCCTACGCATAAGCCTGCTCCTCAGCTTAGCCTCAGCCTTAACTCTGGAGCTTGATCTTGTTTGTTCCGGATCCAAGGCTACGCGCAGACCATTGTCAATCACTTCACGGGCTGTATTGACCCGATCATACAAAGGCATAAAAATGACATCGAATACTGGCGTGGACTCGAACACATCCTCAGAAGAGGTGCGTTGCCGACTGCGGGTGTAACTAATCGTTCGCCCTAACGCCTTCTCAGTTGGCACGTGGACTCAGTTCGCCAGCTGCGACCGTAAGTATTCTTCGTCACGTGGGAATGGCGTGCATTAGTCTAGCCTGGTTGCTGAATGGAGTACGTAGGCTTCGATAGCAGATACCTCAGAATTGACTAATTCAGTCGCCCTAGTCTTTATCAGCATTTCTTCTCCGTTATTTAACCACACGCTCTCGTGTGTCGGCCCACTTCTTCGTCATCTGCTCCCTACCGTTGTTGATTACTTTGCCTAACTTGACTAGTGAAGGGGGCGAAAGTCTGGTGTTTTCACTTTTACATTACTGCCAGTATTTTTTGATGTTGCAGTACTATAGCTGTTTGCTTGGGATAGAATAGATCATAGGGTATTCGCTTTGCACACTGTACCATTCCTACTCACGGTTTATGCGGTCAGTCATGCGAGCATCGGTCTGTTACAGTCTGCACGGAACATCCTCTTTTCTTGCTTTCGACCGCGGTCGAAAGTTCGTCCTCTAAATCTTTCGTTTTCACTCATTTGTCTCTCCTGGGGGTCGTTCGTGCCATTTGTCCTGCGACTCACTTTTTGCCTAGCATACCGCCGTAGAGAGATCCTTCACTGCATTTGGGTAGGAATCACCGTCATTCTTTTCCCGATGTACAGTAGGTGGGCTGACTCATGAAATGTCAACCGAAATTCCGAAATGCGTTTTCGTTTCGAAAAAATTAATTTAGTTGGGTTGTAAAAATTGTCAGCCTGCAACATAATTCTATAATATTTCAGTTGCTTCAGGATGCCGGCTTTTGAGTGAACTTTCTTCCGGCTGCATGCAAAAACTACACTGCAAAAAAACGACTTTCAATGCCCCTAAAAGTCCAATTATATTTTATGGAAAACATGCATAAGAATATTTATTCTTTTGTTCATTCGGTAGAAAATTACGTCTTCTTCCAATCTTATACTCGAAGGAAGGGTTTAATTCGGTCTTCAAAAGCTTTTCCAGTTCCCAAATAATTCTGAACCCGCTCAACCGTTACACTTGCATTCAGGGTTTCTAAACTACAAGCCGTATATTTTCCGAGTACGCAAAATCACACATTTCTCTATGGTAATAAAGGGGGACCATATAAAGTTCATAAAATTTAGCAGTGGATTTGATCCATATTGTTAACTTTACAAGCCACACTGGTACATGCAGAGACCTGACATTTTATGAATGGCCATTCACAGTATAAAAATCTTACAATTAGAAACTTTTTAAAACCTAATTATGTCCCTTCCTCGAGTTTAAAATTAGAAGAAGACGTCATTTACTGCCAAATAAGCAAAGGAATGAATATTTTTATGCATCTTTCCATGAAATATTATTGAACATTTAGGGGCATCGAAAATCGATGAGAAAAATTCATGCTCCTTATGTAGTCATTTTTTACAGAGTGTAGTTTTTGCATGCAGCCGGAAGGAATTCCATTCCAAAACCGGCATCCTGAGGTAACTAAAATATTATAGAATTATGTTTTAGGCTGACTAGTTTTACAACCTCCTTTAATTAATCTTTTCGAAACGAAAACGCATTTCGGAATTTCGGTTGACATTTCATGAATTGGCTCACCTACTGTAAATCTACATTCTCTTAGACAGATGATAATTAAGGATCGTTTGTTTTCTACGACGAAGGACATAAGTCCCTTGGAGCCTCTGGTAGACATGACGGTCTCCCATGTTAACCAAAGTAAACAAAACTGACAGCTTACAAGGCCGCGGTGAGTGCATATCACGCGTTGACTGGCGTATGGCGCGCTAGGGTTAGGTTTATATCATTGGCCATTCCAGGGTTCCTAGTCCTCTAATACGCCCACACCCATCTCAATCCAGGTTACTCGTACTAGAGTGGAAATTTGGCACCGATAACTCCTCCCCCTCCATTGTCCTTCCTGGACAAAGTAATCGCAGTTAAGGCCGATGTCACTGTAACTCACTGTGCATCAGTCGTCCCACTCCATTGATTTGACAGTTCATTTGAAGTGTAAGGTCTCCTACTGTTTTGCTCTCTCTGTGAAGATTGGGTCTTGCCACTGTTGTCCATGGTTCCTTCTACCGAGCGTCTTATTGAAAATATTTTTACCTGCCTCTCCTGTCAACAACCCTTCCCCCTTTTTTATGAGAAAAGTCAAATTAGGTAGTTTGGTTACCTCGTGACAGGCCTCCTTCCGCACAGAAGACCATTCCTCAATCTAATTTTTGATGGAATGATCTGCGCATTCTCGCGATCGTGTTATCCCATGATCGACCTCGGTTTTTTTGTCCACGGCCTTGAAATCACCACGGCGTCACCTTTTGCTCCGTCTATGTTCAAAAAACACCTTTTTATTCAATGTTTAAAATTATCCGTCTTCACATCCTCTCGAAAGCCTTGTTCTCGTTAGGGAAAAGGAGACCCGATCGCTGAAACAAGAATTTTATTCGCCGGAAGTTGCGGATTCACACTCGAATCCATCAGCAGATGGGAGCAGTGGACACACAAAGGTTGGAGTATTTACAGTATACAGGTGTTCTTCCACAATATACTTGTCAACTTAACGGTCCCGCATTCATCGCAGGTAATCGTGCTTGATACGCCGGTGGTTGGATCGCCCACATCCGAGCCGTTAATTATCGCAATTTCAGTACCAATGTTGAGTATTGACATGATACTTACTTGACGGTTTAGTTCATCTATGCAGTCACTGGAAGCGATGTTCGTCCGCAACCAGGTGTTGACATGAAGGAAACGTCTGTAGTCTTCTACCGCATTTGATGCTGTTGCAAGCAGAGCAACTTTTTCGGAGAAGCGGGGAAATTATTCTGGGCGCGGATGGTGTAACCACGTTAATTTTCGATTCGCGGTTCATTTGACGGGATGCATTCACACCGTCAAATTCGACAAGACAGGAATTATCGCAAGAGATGACAACCGCGTCGGGCGCCGGCTGCTAAAGCCGTGGTTCTCGGACACGCATTCTCTCGTCCCTCTTCCAAAAAAGCTAGACTGAGACTTTGCGCGAGCAGAGTGATTGAATATGTTGGGGGAATGCGAACGAAAACCGCTTCCAGTGGCGGTATCGGTGAGTCAAATGACCGAATCAGTGTCACGCCTTTGCGATGAAAGTGCGGCAATAACTGACTCGGGTTCGACCTTCGAAACCATCATCACATTAAGTACGACCATTTCCGATGAACTGGAAGTTGCTAATTTCCATAAATTTCCTCCAAATGCTCCAGCTCTTGTGCGCCCTTATCTTTCATTCTCATCTCTAATGGGTCCGAGTGTGAATCCGAAATCGAATTATTGTTGCAGCGATCAAGTCTTTTTCTCAGAAGCTTCATGCACCTCTTTACGTTTTTACCGGCAACTAATTCTCGTTGCCGAAAACGTGTCTTTGCCATTCAGACAACTGGTAAGATTCTGTCTGCTCATGTTGCAAAGTAATTGAAAGTTTACTATGCTTATTTCGCCATTTTGCCAGCGTTGCTTTAATTTTTCGAGGAATAGGTCAGGTTTCATCTAAGTGAGCCGTAAAATTCTCATATTTAGGAGCTTTTTCCTCTTGTCTTTAGACTCACTGATGGGTACTCAGCTAGTGATTTAACACAGCTCGCAAAAGACGCCGCCCTGGGTCCGATCAGAGGTGAGCTGAGCTTCCACTTGTTTTTGCTATTTCTACTACGCAATCCACGTAAGTTTCCGCCATCTCCTCACATGCCCGCCTCTCTATAAAGTCCTCCTCATTGTTGCCGATCTGGCACATCCAAGGATCTTTCTCAACCCCACCCCCCTCCCAAAGCTGAGTCATTTATTGGACGTCGCCCAAAATTTAGATGACTGTTTGGGATTGACAGACATGGCGCACTGTCGCTAGCAATGACCAAGAAATACTTCCAGTTAACCAAATAGGTGTTCAGTGAAAAGAAGGGGAGTAAACCTTTCGCACAGTCCTTACCTGACACTGGACACGCACCTATGGTAATCACAGCATCTATTGCTATATGTGTGCTTTAACAACTGCGACACTTGGCCATGCCCCGTTTTAATATGGAATCCAGTGGAGGGGGTTTATATTCAATTCAGAAGGAATTAGGCATACTTCGGACATTTCGACTGATGCCGGTGAGGCAGATGTCTGCCTGCGTTGCGTCAACTTCTGAACTGGTTGGAGCGAATATCCACCTCGGCCCAGGGCGTCTATTTGTCAGTGGAGATGTCTGTGCTTTGTGGACGTGCTGATACACCGTTTCACGAGGTCCACGCGTGTTTGATCAGCCACATGAACTGGACACCTATAATTAGTCGGATACATCCTCAAGAGCCTCATTAAGCGAGTCGAGTGGACGCACGCGTAAACAGGGGTCTGAACATCAACAACGCACTTGATATGGCGGATGCTGGAGGTGGGGAACGCATTAACGCTCATTCCGGCCGGTACAACAAAACAGGCATTCAAGTGCATATTCGAAAGGAGTAATAAATGTGTAAATCGGTCAGGAGACATATCCTGTGACTGCTGCGGATAATTTGGACAGGATCAGCAACATCACTGTTACTGGCAACGCCGGAGGCTCTGTCTGGCAGAAAAAGGCCATTGAAAGGTGCGGTGGAAGAAACGTCGATAGGTAAATAACTGCTGAATTGCTCGTGGACGGCAGATCTGTATGTCATGTCGGTATAGTCGGTTTGGGTGAGCATGTGTCGCTGGCGGTGAAGTGTCTCGGAGCTGTTACTGTTCTGCAAGATTGGGCCCGGCGTCCGACTCCACGAATTATGATGGACCTGGAACAATCATAATGAAATTTGGATGGCCTGAAATGTATGCAACGCCCTACGGCATAATGGTCGCAGACAGTGGGCGAACGTGGAAGCCCTCACTGTGAAACATGGATGAAACAAGGGTTGCGTACCTGCCCTAAATCTTCTCAGTCCTCTGTCCACCTCAGTGTCAATGGACGACCGTCGTGAAGGAAGAGCAAGTATCGTCACTGGCTGATGAACCAACGGGAAGCCGTTAAATCAAAGTCTCATCAATGCCGTTGCGAAAATCTTCAGGGGCAGGACAGACAACCTCTTCTATGACGTTTGCGCACTGAACCCGGCAAGTGAAGCGGATACTGGCCAGGGTCCGGACTTCCTCGTCTATGGATGCACCAACTTCGAATGGACTGCAACACGTATCAACTTGTTGTCATACTTCAACCACTGTCAGCTGTTTAGTATGCTGAACCCGATGTCGTTGCCAGTCATGTCATCGTCGTGGACCAGTTTGCTTACCTAGGCAGTACAATCATAAGGAGCATCGGAATCAATGATGATCCCGCTGCACAGTCAGATGTTCGACAGCCTCCAATCCTTCGTGTGGAATCGACGCGGCGTCGTCGAGGCCAACTTTTGCCGTCACCTTGGCAACGTGTCTCTATGGTGCTAAAACCCTTATTATTTACTACAACTGAGTGAAGAGGCCAAATCGCCGCCACCCCTAGCTCTTTCAGGAGCATTCGGTAGGTGAAGTGGTGGAAACAGATCCTGACCATCGCAGTACTACAGTTGTCCGGTATGCTCGGTATATCTGCATGTCGGAAGCAGATGAAACCTCGATGGGGTGACCAAGATTCATAGGGAACCGTCAAATAGGATAAGCAATCCTGGCGCACTGCCGCGGGGAAGGAAACAGCAATCTTTCAAGTCAGTAGACTAAGGGGGCCAAAGAAACGGAGGTGTACGCATAAGAAGAGGTGAGAAGAAGTAGCTGTGATCGCTGGAGCAAGAGACTTATTCGCCTGACGTTTCGGATTCTTGCACGAACCGATCATCGGAGACGGGTAGTTAATGCATATGAAGTTGCAGTACTTTTAAGATGCAGTCGCTATGCAACCACCTACGTAGGATAATTAACGTCTCGACCTTCATTGAAGATGGTTGCCCTCTGGTACGCTAATTGCTTGATGGCCGACAGGTAAGGCGTTTACTGCTGAAATTTCATCACCAGTGTTTGATGTTGGCGTGATGATGGCTCGGTCACCTGACCCACCGACCTGTGCGCTCACTGAGTGGCTAATTACTTTGGCCAAGCTAAGTTTCAGCACAAATCGTGGGATGAGGGGACTATTGCACTCTCTAATAGACTGAGATCCATGTGAACTATAACTGCAGCAACTGTCAGCTCACATGACTATCACCTTTCAAAATAGTTTCGGCCCATCGAATTTGGGTGTGTGGTCGGGTCTTGTTGAATGAGTCGCGACTTAAGAGTTGGCGTCATTTTTCCGCGCTGCTGTCGCGAGCTCGGCGACTCGCGTCCGGAGCAGTCTTCCAGTTTCTCCGACGTAACTGCCTTGTCCGCAACTGCATCAGATCCCGTAAACGACTCCAGATGTTTATTGCCGTGGCAGTGGGTCTTTTGGTCTGATTACTTGACGTCAGGTGTAATGAGACAGCGGTCCTTCAAGTCTACCAGAAAATAAAGGCATGAGCACAAGAAGAGGTGCTCAGGAACAACTTTGAAGACGCCTAACCCGCTTCAAATACCACCACCGCCAATGCACATTTGGCACCCACATCAACCGCAGCGTCACTAGCAACCAATGTAGACACCGCGTCGTGAATCGCCGCAAGCACTTGCCAACCTTTTCGCACTTACTCGCATTGTTAACGTTGAGTTTCAGATCGGCCTTGACATATCGCTGAATACTTCATTATTTTCAGTGTTTTTCCCGATCACCCATAAAGACGAGTTCTGTACTATGTATCTGTTGAAAATTTTAAAATAAAGCACTCCTTGAGGGCATTCACCGAAGTAGCGAACGTTTGGGCGCTCTTTTTGATGAAGGTCGTTTGGGTCACTTCTGAAGGCTCACTCAAGCAGAAAACCACATCGTCAAATAGAATGAACGTCCACAACGAAAGTCAGCATCGAATATGCCTTCGATGAATTAGAAAACTTTCTCAAACAAGTCACCTCTTTAAGCAGTACTCTAGTGCAGCACTCCGTTGACGGATCTCTGTGTATTTTGCATTTTTGCGCGGTGAGGCTACGAAAAAAATTGACACTTTTGGCGGTTCCTTTCACGTTTCCAAACAATACTAACAGTTTTTTTTATTTTACACGTAGGAACATGCCTTTCTTCTTATATTGCGGTCATTTGCACTGTTTTTACTCGCCAGTAGGCTTCAATCTACGATTGTGAATGCAGAGCAGGGTGCCCATATAAATACTGATATTTTGCTGAAACGGTTAAGGTTTTGCTCGCTCCATTTCTGAATTAAGTATTCGCTGAAGCTAGACTGTACGACAAGTAATGTTTCATATGCCTAAAACTAGAAATAACTATTCGGTGGTGGTCATTTCTGTGACGAGTACGATTTTCCAAACAGCAAAACAATTTCAGCCCATTTAAACGAAGGATTGACTGTGTGCGTTAATACTGCACTTTATTGCACCAAGCACTTCCCACCATAGGGAATATTCCAGTTCTCAACCCACAGGACAGCACTTTTGTGGCTCAATAGCAGAGCATTGGGCTGTTTGACCCTCAATTACCAAATAACTCGAGTCCAAATCCCATGGCACCCAAACGTGCGATTGAGTTGGGCTGGCCGACTGGCGACGACCAGTAAGCCATGGACGTCCATCCCACTCTCTCTTGTCCCCTTTTTGTATACTCCTTTCCACATCAGTACTAGTCGGTATACGACTAAATTGAACCCTAGGATGCAACGGCAGAAGCACGTTCTGCAACCCCCCACGCTGCCAGCAATACTGTTGACGAGTCACCTTTCCATCAGGGACCTTTTAATATCTCCTTCACTCTCCTTGGCAGTGTTTCGCGCAACTTACATTTCCCTCATTTACCCAGCACTCACGAATTCTGTGCTCGTTTGCACAGCGTTATGCGGTAATTCTTTTCACAACACCCTCTTTGGCCTGTTGACTAGAACTGAAGCCCGGCCAGCTGCAGCATATTCCCAAAGCAGCTCTTCGCCCGGTCATGCTGAAAGACTTCACCGACAGTCTGCAGAGGATACGGCCCAGCCTGACCAGTCAGTCTCTTCAGAGTTACGCCAAGTGGAATAGCAGTTTTGGCGAAAACCGCTCCGCCGAGACGGCAAGCGCCGCCAGCTCGTCTTTCCTGTCAAAGTTATTTTCTTGATAGTCTTTCCCCCACCTCACCCACCCCACCCAATTTTGTAAATGAACCGTCTACTTCTGACGTTTGTCGCCTTATGACTAGATTATTTCGAGCACAGCGTGCTCTGACAGGACCGGCATTATGCCTAACCGTGATATGTTTTCTGCCCTCCTTTTCGTCTTTTCTAATAATAGTTTTCTTACTCCTTGGCTTTAAATGAGGCTAACTCGCTAAAAAATGAAAAACCTGTCTACAGACACGTCGGAAGAGAGTTGGGCTACCCGGCACATTCGAATTCACTAATGTGGTTGTTTTGTAAGCAGGAGTGTATGCTAGCCAACTCTTAACTGCACGTCAGAATACTGGTTATGTACGGTATTGAGTGGCCGATTGCTTGCTTGCCAGTCACAAGGAGGAAACCAAGATTTTCGGCAGCGTACAACAACTGATTTTAAACTTTTGAGCTAGAAGTAGGCCACTGGAGGGACAAAAATGGCGTTTTGATGGTGCATTTATCAGGCTGTTAATCCGAGAGCTTTTTGGTGGTCGATTTTCTGAAGAGGGTTTGGCAGCCTGGAGCTAGAAACCCTGTTCTTACTTCTTCGCATCCTATCGTACTCCTGTGTAATGAACGCTTCGAAGTCCCGAACAAACAGGTCTTCCGTGTTTGTCTCGTAAACGATGAATTTTAGTGGCACATCATGGCGACGGGCCTGTTCTTACCAGTGTTTGGCTGGGTGTTTTACACGACCCCCATGACGGGCTGCGCTGTACCTGCACTGAAACAGGCCGGTTGGGTTTGGCTTGTGACACGCTCTAATGGAACTGCGCTGAGCCCGCGCAAGCTTACAAATGCTGCGGCACATGTGTGCAGTAGTACGCTTTAAATGTAGACTCTCACGTGACTGGAAGTGCATCCGCCAGCGGTTGAGGTGGCCGTCCGTCCTGTGAGCGATGCGGGCCCAATCCCTTCACCTGTCCGTTGATAGGCTCGGACAGTGGACTGATACATGAGTGAGGAATCTATCTTCATTACACATCAGCGCGCTCCTCACCGTGGTTAGCTTGACGCGCTTGAATATCTTGCTAGTTAAGAGTTATGGTTTGGAGGGCTGGCAACTGATGGGGCAAATCGTCCTTCTCGGGAGAAATAGTCGGGCTGCAATGATCTCTTAATGTGGCCCTTCGTGGCATTCTGACTGGTGAAGGATTTGAGTCGCCCTTACAATAGCTTTGCACACGTAATGGGGACTGGGACATGTGTGACACACACGTACACGTAGACGTATCAAAATTTGGAGCGTGCCTAAAAAAGGCACGTTTCGAAAGATTTACTCCAAGTTCCCGCATTAATTTCCTCGGAAATTAAACAAGGTAAGTTAGAAGTGGGGTTCATATACCAGAAAACACACGGGGAAAGCTGGGGGACCCATTGACGAGCCGAACCCCTCGCAGCTGCGTCAGGCAGCGGCATAAGATCGGCGAAACACGCGTGTCTGGGCTTTTAGCTAATACCTGTGTTGTTAGTACGGTAAATCACTGCACAGTTCTATACTACTGGCTGCCTGTTGGCGGTTTGTGAATATTAAGCGGTTATTCCGCAGTAGCTGATGGATTTCAGCTCAAATATTCATATCAAAATTTGGAGCGTGCCTAAAAAGGCACGTTTCGAAAGATTTACTCCAAGTTTGCGCATTAATTTCCTCGGAAATTAAACAAGGCGTAGACGAGCTACCTAGTTTTGGTAATCACTGCGCCCATCACCTACTGTCTTGCCATCGGAGCGAGGTAATTGAGATGGGGGAGTGAGGTGCAGTAGGTGGGCTAACTCATGAAATGTCAACGCAAATTCCGGAATGCGTTCTCGTTTCGAAGACTTATTAAGTAGGCTTGTAAAACTGGTCAGCCTGCAACATAATTCTGTAATATTTCAGTCATCTCAGGATGCTGGCTTTCGAACGAACTTTCTCCCGGCTGCATGCAGGGGCCACAGTCCGCAAAAAATGACTACTTAAGTAGCATGCATTTTTCTAATTCGTTTTCTGTGCCTTTGAAAAGTCCATTATATTTCATGGAAAAATATTCATTCTTCTTCTCATTCGGTAGAAAATTACAGCTTTTAATATTATACTCGAAGAAAGGGTATAATTGAGTTTTAGAAAACTTTTCCAAGTACGAATGATTTTGAGCTCCATCTGCCGCTACACTCGCATTCAGGATTTCCAAAATACGAGCCGTATATTTTCCGCGTACGGAAAACTGTAAATTTCTCTACGGTATTCAGAGGAGATCATTTGGAGTTCATAAAATTTAGTAGTGGATTTGAGCCACATTGTTAACTTTGAAAGCAACACTAGTGAATGCAGAGACATGACGTTTTCTGAGCGGCCATTTCACGGTATTAAAAAATCTCACAATTAAAAACTTTTAAAACCAAATTATACCCTTCCTTCGAGTGTAAAATTGAAAGAAGACGTGATTTCCTACCGAATAAGCAGAAGAATGAATATTTTGTGCATGTTTTGCATGAAAAATAATTGACTTTTTGAGGTAACCTAAAATAAATGAGAACGCATGCTAAATAAGTAGTCCATTGATATTCATTGATATTTTGGCAGAGTGTAGTTCCTGCATGCAGCCGAAAAGAAGTTAAGTTGGAAGCCGGCATCCTGAGGTAGCTGAATTGTGGTAGAATTATGCTGCATGATGATTGGTTTTGCAACCCTGCTTAATTAATCTCTTCGAAAAGAAAACGCATTTCGGAATCGGAGTTGACATTTCACAAGTTAGCCCTCCTACTGTAGGTGCTTCGAAATGCTGCTTCATAAGAAATTCACGCGTAAGTTGCCGGCGGCTCGACCATCCTGACCGACAATGTCCACCGCGTGCCCTACGGAAGGGATGGTGACTTGCGCAGCATCTGTCGCACTCTCCATCTCCCCTCCCCCCCCCCAAATCCGGAGTCAAGAAGACTGGAGGCGGGAGAGGGCGCAGGTGGCTTGCGCTGCCGCACACGTTCCTAGGCGCACCACCACACCCCATGGTACTCAACAAACACTCGACCAGAATTTTTACTAAAAACAAAAGTGGGGGCGGCAAGGATCCTAAGTGGCGTGACGTGAGCTCGCAACTGGGTCCTGCTACCACGCCCCGAGCATCGGCTTTTGTTATGCATGTAAATTCCCGATAAAACCTGCCCGAGTCCGATCTAGACCCTGTGTTTGTACAGCACATCTACCGAGTGGTTCATTTGATGACCATTCCGCGATGTACGCGGTGGACGTCGTCCCTTTGCGACAATCGAGTCGTCGAGTGTCATGCACGCAGCTGACACATCAAAAGAGGATTACCGGAGGGATAGTATACTGCAAAAGCACAAAATCAAATTTAGAAAAATCCTGTTCAGTAGTAATTGTTCGTGGACATGATGCGAAGAGCAGATCAAGTAAGGTCGGTCTATCCTGAGTGGAGAAGCGCAGGGTGGAATGCAGGGAGGTGTGTAACCTAATTCGGTGCGGTCGGTTTAAACATATCCAAGATGCTGGAAACGGTTATCTGGTTTTCCTCAAGACGATGATCCTGCAAAAAAAACACGAACAATGATAACGAAGAGACTTACGGTTCCAAATTCCAGGATTGTAGGTACTTTCTTAACCGCTAGTTCGGGACATATGCGGAATTCGTTCTGGGGATCTTTCCATCTGAAAAAGTGATTACAAGAGGGGGAGAGTACTTACGTTGGCTTGTCACCAGTATGCACATCAAACCACATTGCATTTTCAGGCAGCTGAGTGCGGGCCTCGTCGACGAATGGTTGAGCTGAAGTTGTGAATATAAGCAACTGTAATAAAAGTGGGAATCATTGTAGTATGGAATACAAGTTACGGAAGTAAACAACCTAGAGGGCTTGACTGCCCAATCCATGGACGTCATCCTCTTATGTGCACTGAGTGACCGGCCTCATAAAATGTTGGCTGGAATTCTGAAATGCGTTTTCGATTAGAAAGGATTACTTAGGCGCGGTTGTAATACTGACTATCTTGCGGTCTAATCCTGTAATATTTCGGACTTGGCATGAGGTCAGCTTTTGAGTACACTGCATTTAAATCTCCCATAGAAACCGTACTCGGCATTTTTACCATTGAGTTTCGATGGTATTGCAAACTCAAATATATTTTGGAGAAACCACAAACAAAATTGGGCTTTCTTTTAGTCTTCTGAAAGATAACTACGTTATCTTTATATTTTATACCCGAGGAAGGAGTATAATGAGGTTTCAAAAAAGTTTCTAATTATGGGATTTTTTAAGACAACGCAATGTTCATTCACATAGCATCTAAACTGTCCGTTTATCACTGCTCCTCATGAAATGTACAACATAGTCTGCATCCATTGCAAAATTTTATGAACTCTATATGATATCTTTTTAAAGGCACAGAAGCATATGTGATTTTCTTTGCGCGGAATGCATGCACCTTTTAGACTAAAACGACTAAGCGCTAATGCAACGCTGATCAGGCTCCGAATTATTCGGCAAATAGAAAGCTTTCTTAAAACCTGATGATACTCCTTCCTCGAGTATAAAATACAAAGATGACATGACTATCTATCCAACCAACTAAAAGAACGCATATTTTTTGTTCGTTGTTTCTCCAAAATATATTTGAATTTGCGAAACCACCGAAAGTCAATAGTAAAAATGCATGTTACTTATGTAGTCATTCTTTACCGAGTACGGTTTCTACATGGAAATTGAAATGCAGTGTATTCAAAAGCTGACATCCTGTCAAGTTCGAAATATTATATGATTATATCGCGCGATAATCAGTATTATAACCGCGCACAAATAATTCTTTCTAATTGAAAACGCACTTCAGAATTTCAGCCAACATTTAATGAGAGTAGTCGCTCATTGTAGTTTAATGCGCAGCTACACGGGTTGCAGGATGGTCAGCAATAATAAGGCGAAACTGCAGGGCTTTAGTGGGAAAGCGTGCGCAGCGGAAGTCTCCCACACAAAC